TGAAACTTAAACAGCCAATAACGTGATTTTGAACGAACACGAACATAGGATTGCCAAGTTATGTGCAACACACATGAATCAACTCTTATCGTTCGGAAATATAGTTTTTGAGGCAGGTAAATGACACTAAATGTGTTTATACCCACTACCATCGTCTCGTCATTTGTGATATAGATGCCTCCAAGATGTCTTGATCCTGAACTGAAATTCATCCCTCTTGGTCTCTTTCTGTGGTTCTTTCTCCATTTGTATTACTGTATTCCAGTCTTTCTTTTAAAAATGACAACGAGCCTAAAGAATTTGAATTGCCTTATTTTAAGACAGATGACCAGTTTTATGTGTGTGATGATTTCTTTCAAGCCTCTATATTTGGGAACCACGTTATTACATACTTACACAGTCAAACAACAGACTTTGGCACTTACATAGTGGCGTTTTCAAACCCCGGTCCCGTTTTGTAGGTTATGTTCAAACCCCCATAAAAACTGGAATTTGTGGGGATCGTCTCACCTCCAAGTTTTCTGCAGATAAGAAAATATAGAAATAAAAAGTAAAGTAAAATACCTTTTTCTAAAATAATTGATTTAGAGTTAACATGTACACCATCTAAGTTTTGGGAACTGCCTTTACTGTAAGAGGATAGGGCAGGAGAATAGAACTACTGAGCCCTAATGAGTAAGCTATGAAAGGGGAGACATTCTGAGATTGATGAAAAATGCCAAAAGGCGCAAATATAGAAAGAAGACTGCCTATAAACTACAACACAACATGCCGATTTCCCTTTTGCAGGCTAGCTCAGATAAAGAAGAAGAAGGCGAAATATGTTACATGCCACCTTAGTGAACTGACTCGAAGAACTATCACAGTGTTGTCAAGTTAAAGAACACTGTTTTCACATATGTGGCTCCAAAGGTGGGCCCAATCTCAAACAGGTATTAGGAAAGGTTTTGGGAGTAAAGACGGCCTACATTGACCACATCGGTCATCGAGTGCTGACTGATTTATAGACATATGGGTCTAGCACATTATGGCTAAGCGCCATTGCGTGAAAAAGTCATTTTTTCCTTTAAAAAAAATACTGTTACAGTAAGTACAAGTTATTTTTTAAAAAAGTTAACTACTTTTCCATCTGGTGTATTGGGGATATGGGAATAGACCTATGTTTTATAGACTAACTGGAACTTGGTCGGTGATGTGGTCAGCATCACACTGTCTGCCTTTACTTCCCAGGGACATTAGTCGGTCGTAATAGATCATAATTTCCACATACTTCTACAATTACATTATTATGTATACAATAGTCTTTCGTTAGAGAGCAATGTTTCAACAGTCTACTGGAATACAGGGGCATTGAAAATGTTTTGCCAGGATTTAAAACTGTTATTAATTGAAAAAAAAAAATAGCATTTAATTGATATACATGTTTTGGAAAAGTTCGCAACTGTAACTCTGGATAATAATTAGAAGATGTGGTCGGAGACTGAATTCAGTCTAGACACCACTAGAGCTACACTACACATAGCACCCATACCAGCGTGTGATAAGGTAAGTCGAGCAGAGACTGCTTCTGCTGCTGTTCCAGGGACTGGTTCTTTTTCCAATGGAATAGGCTTTAGCCATACTCACCGTCAGCGATAAGCTCGGGTTGAAGCACCCTCTGCAGTCTTACAGACATCAACCTCGGCGAAGAATGGATACCTGTGTCCCAGGTGCTCAACTGCATCTTTTCCTGTATTGCCAATCTTGATAGCGACTGTCGGGAGCAGAACCAAGTTGCTGTCAATGCAGAGGTCCACCCGCTTATACAGATATGTGAAAATTCAGACGAGGCGGATGTACTGATCTACACAAATGGGTTTATTTATTTATTTATAGTCACATGAAAGATCGTGTCACCGCAATCACCTCCACTGTCCTGCTGCGAGTAGTCATACAGAAGGCACCACTGGTCTCCTGAACTGTTCTGCCTGCAGAGCACGCAGTAGATGCCCATGCACTTTTTTGTCCTTGTACAGCGGACCCCTTTTGCCGGTGAACAAAGAAGAAGAAAAAGAAGAAGAAAAAGATACAAGACCGAGAATTATTCAGTGAAGTCACGTACTGGAGAATTTTAATTGCTGCTCCATATCCGATAGGATGACAAGGTATCTGAGGCATGGGCGGCTCTACTGTTTCCTCACTATAACGGTAGGCAAGATCTGAAAAACAGATAGGATGCATATACAACATTAGGTGCCTGCTGTAGCAGTGCTTTCCTTACAAAACCAGAGGTCCAGGTTCAATACCTAATAATTACAGGATTCTTTGTTTTCTATGAGTATGGTTCTGAATTCAAGCTGTGGTCTCAGAATGAGCAAGAGAAAATGTTCAGAAGTAGCTGGAAACTAAATGCGTTTAGAAAAAGGAATGACCACACTATCTCACTGTGGACGACAATTAAATATCTAGCTTTTCTCACTCCATCAATAGTAAGTAAAAAGGAAAGTAAAGGACTCTTTCCATGCCTTTAGTGAAAGCGGACTGAAACAATCCAACGTGATGACTGAAGTGTTAATCAATGTATATGATACGACAACATCTAGCTTAAGGATAGGGGTAGAAAAGGTTACTGCAGCCTTACGCTGGCGTGAGAACCAGCTGCACACACATGCGTGATTGTATAATTCACTCACGAAAATGCCGAGGTGAGACAAATAGGCTGGGTACAGAGTGGCAATCATTGCTTCAGAGGACCTAACTTTGATAATTTTTTTCAGGGTCTTGTCGTAGACCACGAGGCAGATCAAAAAGACGATGGAGAGATCATGTCCAGACAGATCTGCAAACGCTTGGTATCATCGACTGGAAAGAGAAGGCCAGTCAGAGAGCTGGATGGAGGCGGGTGATATCTGCAGCAATGAACCTCAAGGGCTCGGAATGCTGAAGAAGAAGCAGACGATGTCGGTGTGTTGGGAAATGAACAGGAAAATAGAATGTCTGATTCTGCACCATTTAGTGGTAAACTGGTACATGACACGCTAGATGTTGTAAGCGTTCTTTAGGAGCCAGTACAGCAACGTGCAGACCCAAATATATCGTCAGTCTTAACTTAATTGTGCATCGAGGAGTCATCAGGGAAACCTGCAGTCGTGGACAACTCAGGCGAGGTGCGGACGAACAGACAATGGGACTGTTATTGGTACCGACAGAATTGGAACTCTGCAGTTGCTGTTGAAGATGGGGACGGAGACGCTTACGCGATTGTCTCGATTGCTATGATGTCAGTTCTTCACTCATTTATCAACAAGTAAGTTCTACTTTCCCTTCGCACTCACTGAGCTTTCTGGCAAAGCCTGGCTTTCGGACTTCTGGCCTAAAATGGAGGATAGGATTTGCAGAGTGTTAACTTCGCAGTTATTTTGATTTCCGACAGCGCTTTGCTAATGCATTTCCACATACGGACGCTGATCTACGCTTTCGCTGCTTGAGCTACTGAGTTTAGAGCCTGATACAGCTCTTGGAGCTATGTTTTCCCTGTGAAATGCCTTTCTTTTGTTCAGCGGTTGTGTAGTGGTATTCGTGTGTGCTAGTGAAATACCTTATCTAATAATTCTATATATAGTATAGTTAACTTATTGTGCCGACTACTATCATCAACGACTAACATCATTTCTGGTGGCGACTGCTGGCTTTTGCGCCTCTGGTAACTGACATATGTGTTTACTGCGTGTGCATGTTTCTGGATTGTTCCTAGACTAATTGTTTGTTCGCCAGTTTTTCAAATGAGACAATGAGGGACATTTCATTTGATTGTCACTGGGACATGTACGGATAACCCGATAGCAGTAAAATTGAGACCTCGACTAAGACTAGGACTAACACTAAGCCTATCTTTAGTAAATTAATTAGTTGACATTTTTAAAAAAAAAAAGTAAAGCATGCATATTGAGAAATTCACAACTCACAGCTGTCACGGCATTATAAATGTTGCATTGTTAGTTTTCTTCTGCATCTGTTTAGGGTGGAATTTGACAACTTCATAATTCATTCTCTCTGAACAGCCAACTGGTGAGTTGGTGTTTCTTGTTCTGTAAATATGATCTGCCACACGTAAGCATCGTATATAGCTCACCGAACATAGAACTGCGTCTTTACATTCATTTTGTGTTTGTTAAATTGTGAAATTCGCTGGTCTACATTTTCTTTAGTTTTATATCTTTATCTCATGTTGACATGTGAAAGACACGTTTCCCGACGGCATGGCCACCTATCCATTAATAACAGAGATTAAGGATAGCCCTGTGGAGTATTAGGATATTCTGTCAAAGTACAGTGGACTTCATCCCTATTCCGGAAATAGAGCGCCATTAGTCCTGTGTATGGAAACCGCTTTCCCGCTTAATCCCATCTCGTTTCGCAGAATCTCAAATCTTCATTGGGTAATAGAAAACCACAGGACCCCCTTGTTCATGCCAGTAGTCTTCTGGAATTATGATGGTAGACGCATTGTTTTTATAGACCAGTCTGTCCTAGACGGGTGATGTGATAAACATCGCGCAAGTCACCTTTACTTCCCATACAATTGCCTTATATCGATTTTAGGCTATATCGAGTATAAAGCGAAAGATATTTTCGTCCTCCTAAATCAGCCACAATGCCCATTCAAATCAAAGACTACAGCGGCTTGCTAGCCTCTATGCCTTTTGTTACCGCGGCTCAAAAATACTTAGTGTATCGGTTTTTGTGGGTTGTGTGTTGCCAGTCCGCTTTGTAATGTCGGAGTGGTACGTTTCAAAAACCGCAAAAACCATCAAATGGTGGAGTAAGTTCTGCAACGTCCTGTAAAGGATACACAAATAACTAAACTATTTTGTCTGGAAGCCGCTGTAGTGCAGAATATAATGTGCTTGCTTGCCGTGTCGTAAATAATGGCAACTGATTCAGCTACAGACCGGGATTATTCCCCCCCCCCCTTTTTTTTTCTTCTTCCATAATGCAGGATAATGAACTGACCATACTGAAATATGCCTACAGTGTTCTCCGAAAGGGGGGTGGTTGGGGGGGGGGGAGAAGGACCCATGAGAAAACCAGGAGGCAGAGAGATATTGAGAAGTACCGGCCAGACACGAATACGCTACGCAAACGATTCAAAGCCCCTAAAAGCAACGAACGGGAGGGACTGCACGAGGTCAGGCTGCACACACAGAGCAGAGACAGTGCTCTCTGTCGCACTTAGCGTTCAGTCGGAACAGAAGAAGAACCAAAAAAAAAAACGAGAAGAGTTGTTTGGGAACACAGTTTGCCCGAGGTCTTTTCCAGCAACAGAAATCAGGGACTTTTGTTGTTGGTCGAGAGGAGCTGGAGTCGCATGCTGAGCGTGAACTCCGACGGGACAAGAAATGATCATCTAAAACATATGCAGAAGTTTCTCAGTGGCCTGAAATGGCCAGAGGTGCCGAAGCAAAGTTCAAAACGATGACTGCCTTTTGGTCTGAGGTCAAAGAAGTTGATAAAAAAGCCAGCGGTGAATCTGCCTTAGGACCCAACGGGATGCCGTACGTGGTATACAAACGCTGTCCGAAAGTCCTCCGAAAGCAAAGGCTCGCGTTGAGCCGAAAGTACATATGTAAGGAGTGCTAGAAGACCAAAGGAGTCTTCCTTCCCAAGGTGCGAGACTCCTTTGATCTGTCCTAATTCAGGCCTATCTCACTGTTGAACGTTGAGGGCAAAATATTCTTCTAGGTCCTGGAACACAGACTCACAAATTACTTGATGCAGAACAAGCATATCGACACATCGGTGCAGAAAGGTGGCATCCTGGGCGTCCCTGGATATCTTGAAAGTGAGTCCATGATTTGGGAGAGTATTCTGGCAGCAAAGGCAGAGTAGAAAGAGCTGGACGTAATATGCCCGGACCTCGCCAACGCCTATGGGTTGGTACCCCATAAGCTATTATGGCAGACCCTGCGCTTGTTCCACGTACCGGCAGAGATGATTGCTATGATCGAGCAGTATTTTTCCAAATTCACCATACGCTTCTCGACCTCCAAGTTTACTATGAGGTGGACTGAGCTCCAGGTCTCATATTCCATGTCCACGAGCATGATGAGATGGCATATATATTGTCATGGAACAGGCTGCATTAAACATTGGAAGTTTTTGACAATAGTCTATCACAGATCACCAGCGAGAACTAGTGTAGACGGGCGTCTGCAGTATTTGAAATAACCAGGAAAGATGAATTTACAGTGAAGACAATATGGATTAGAGACCCTGCAAACAAACGCCTTCTGAATAATAATCATTTTCAATTAGCCGGTCCCTTGCAGAACGTCGCTCTTGTCACGGCACACCTAGAACTCTCTCTTTCTCTAGCAAGTTCTCCAGCCCCATGTGCAACAACAAAAACTGAGTAATAATAATAAAGACGACAACGATAATGATGAGGATGATGATAAAAGCAACCACAACAACAAAGACGGACCATTGGCTGGGTAGCCGGGTGTTATTGGGTCCCCATCCCCAGAGAAAATAGTCCCTCGCTGGGCTCCCGTGGGTGGCAACCACCAGGTCTCTGGGTAGACTCTGTTGTCACCCATGTTCTGTCCGGTACAGTCTGCCGGGTCTGAATAGATAATAATACCCGTTGCCCCATATCTTGCGGCGATGTCCACCTGAAACGTAAATTAAGTAAAAAAAGTTAAGGAACCGTTCCACGTTTTAAGGTGTATTGGGCATAAAAGGGGCAGACCTATATTTTATCGACCAATCGGCATAAGGTGGGTGATATGGTCAGCATCATGGCGGCGTCCTCTTTACTTCCCAGGACTTCACCTGGTACCCATTCAACCTGAAACGTAGGACATTGATAATGATTGGTACTAGGCACAGAGTGTTTGGGTCAGCTATATGTTTGAATACACTGGGCACAGTGTGTTTGTGGCAGTTATATGTTTAAATATACTGGGCACAGTGTGTTGGTGTCAGGTTTCGTTTAAATATACTGGGCACAGTGTGTTGGTGTCAGCTATATGTTCAAATATGCTAGCACATAGTATTTGTATCAGCTATTTGTTTATAAATACTGGGCACAGTGTGTTTGCGTCAGATTTAGTTTAAATATACTGGGCACATTGTGTTTGTATCAGCTATGCGTTAAAATATACTGGACACAGATAGTTTGTGTCAGCTGTATGTTTAAATATACTGGGCACAGTGTGTTGGTGTCAGCTATATGTTAAAATATGCTAGCACATAGTATTTGCGTCAGCTATGCGTTAAAATATACTGGACATAGATAGTTTGTGTCAGCTATATGTTTATATATACTGAGCACATCTTTAAAAAAAAAAATGTGCACAGAGTGTTTATGTCAGCTACATGTTAAAATACACTAGGAAAGTTGCATCAATAAACGACCTTCCACTTTCTGTTAAAATCAATTCAGTGAAAAGTAAGTTTTAAAAAAAAGAGACGTTTGCCACGCCTTTAGGGGCATCGAGTTTCCACGCCTTTAGGTGCATCGGGTTTCCACGCCTTTAGGTGCATCGGGTTTCCACGTCCTTAGGTACATCAGGTTTCCGCGCCTTTAGGCTCATTGGGTTTCTGCGCCTTTAGGCGCATCTTGTTTCCGCGCCTTTAGGTGCATCGAGTTTCCACACCTTTAGGCGCATCGGGTTTCCACACCTTTAGGCTCATTGGGTTTCTGCGCCTTTAGGCACATCTTGTTTCCGCGCCTTTAGGCGCATCGAGTTTCCACACCTTTAGGCGCATCGGGTTTCCACACCTTTAGCCGCATCGAGTTTCCACACTTTTAGACGCATCGGGTTTCCACACCTTTAGACGCATCTTGTATCCGCGCACTTAGGCGCATTGAGTTTCCACACCTTTAGGCGCATCTTGTTTCCGCGCCTTTAGGCGCATCGAGTTTCCACACCTTTAGGCGCATCGGGTTTCCGCGCCTTTAGGCTCATTGGGTTTCTGCTCCTTTAGGCGCATCGGGTTTCCGCGCTTTAGGCGCATCGGGTTTCCACCCCTTTAGGCGGCTCGGGTCTCTACCCCTTTAGGCGGCTCGGGTTTCCACGCTTTTCAGCGTATTGGACATATAGGACTAGACCTATATTTAATAGAACATGCGGCACTCGGTAGGTGATGTTGTCAGCATCCCGCTGACCGCCTTTACCTCCCAGAACTTTACCTGCTACTCACTAAAGGCTGGGTCACCCTGGGAATCAAGTTCTGGCTGCTACACCATGGCATTTATCTCAGTGAAAATTGTTTGTAATTAGATCTTCGTCCACTTATGCCACAGGACTAAATCCTTTCTCTGCTGCTTCGGCCTCTGTACCTGTTCCCATTCTGTTAGTGTATGTTACTTTTAAGCACGTTATTTCAAGCATCGAAATGTAATAATACCACACTACTTGTCAGTTAAACAATTGGTCAAAAACATCTTGTCAAAAACACCTGGTCAGTGATTGTAACTTGGTCTTTGTCTGGTTTCCCCTTCTTAACCCAGGACAGCTGAAATAGATATCAGAGTTTAAATAATAATTTTGCACCATTCTGAGATTTTTCTTCAGTGTATTACACATCAACCAGCCTATTTTAAGGAAGGTCAGTCCATTTATCGCTACATCATAATCGCTGCTAAAGCAGTGGCAAACTACTGAACGTAAAATTCGCCTATTAGAAACCACAACAGCTAAATCATGCTGAAGCTAGTTTTGAAACGTCCTGTAAAGGATATGCAGCCAACTTAACTTATAGTCGTACCTTGGACGAAAGCTGCCAGCAGTAGGTCCTCAATTTCCACGTCTACCATATGCATCTGCAAAGGGGATCCGTAATTTCTCTTTAACCTGTCAGCATTGCCTGAGATTTGCATGGCCAAGCTAGAGAACTAATGACTCGATATCTGTTAATTATGCTGGTATCCAAGGTCAACAACATTCTTAGCAACTTCAGTTCCTACTATTCCGGTAAACGTTTTCTTTTTCTTTCTACAGCATACACTGTTATAACATGGTACAAAAGCCTTATGGAAGATGACATCAGTCTACTTTACTGACCTTATCGCCTCTGAAAATGTGCCCATACTTGACAATGACCAGATGCCCTGAGACATTAACACCTATCGTTAACAGCCACTCGTAGTCTTCCACACGTCCGTACCCCGCGAACACCAGCTGTCCCTGATGAAGATGCCAGTTAAAGACTTTTGTGCACATCTTTATAGTAAAATTGGGAAAACACACACACACACACACACACACACACACACACACACGCACGCACGCACCCACCCATCCACACAAAGAGCGACAGAGAGAGACACACACACAACATGACATATTCCTTAATAGTTTGATCAGTAGAAAGAGAGCAAGAGTTAGAGAGAACAGGAAAAAAAAAGGTTGCTTGATGAGACAGATGATATTCATTATCTGTGTCATAAATATTATTTTGTAAAAAGTAAAAGACAATTTCAGCTCCTTCAGACATATTGATCATGTATGGCTAGACCTATATATGACGCCTAAGCCACATACAGAGTGTACTAGCCACATACACCGTGTACTAGCCACATACACCGTGTACTAGCCACATACACCGTGTACTAGCCACATGCACCATGTACTAGCCACATACAGCGTGTACTAGCCACAGACACCATGTACTAGCCACATACACCATGTACTAGCCACATACTGCGTGTACTAGCCACATACACCATGTACTAGCCACATACACCATGTACTAGCCACATACAGCGTGTAATAGCCACATACACCGTGTACTAGCCATATACACCATGTACTAGCCACATACACCGTGTACTAGCCACATACACCGTGTACTAGTCACATACAGCGTGTACTAGCCACATACACCGTGTACTAGCCATATACACCATGTACTAGCCACATACACCATGTACTAGCCACATACACCGTGTACTAGCCACATACACCGTGTACTAGCCACATACACCATGTACTAGCTAGCCACAAACACCATGTACTAGCCACATACACCGTGTACTAGCCACATACGCTCAAATGTGATCATTATTCATTAAATGAGAACGTTACAGTTTTATTTTGTTGTCTTAAATTGTTGACATTATTCCCTCTGAACTTAGTTCCCGTCAGGTTTGTATATTTCTCAAATGTCACCATCTAGAGATAACCACACACACACACACACACACACACACTCTCTCACACACTCACCACAGACACAAACAAACACACACACACACACACACGCTTACACTAACATGTAGACATATTTTTATAATTCTAATTTAATCATGGTTTAAACATGATCCCCCCCCCCCGCCCCACTCCACCAACCCCCTTTCCTGCATAATATCTGAGAAATGTATTGCTCTCTCTCTCTCCCTCTCCCCCCCCTCTCTCTCTCTCTTTCTTTATCTCTCTCTCTCTCTCTCTCTCTCTATATATATATATATATATATATATATATATATATATATATATATATATATAGTGTGTGTATGTGTGTGTTTGAGAGAAAAAAAGGGAGCAAGAGACCGAGAGAGAGAGAGAGAGAGAGAGAGAGAGAGAGAGAGAGAGAGAGAGAGAGAGAACGAGAGAGAAGAAAGAGACAGGAGAAAAAGAGAACAGAAAGGATGTGACAGAAAGGAAACACCGGACAAAAACTTGAAATGACCAAACACGTTTTCCAAAACTGTAGTCGCTGCTCATCCATTTCAATGTAATCAAACCGGCTAGTTTTCTGTTATTCATTTACATTGTGAGTAAGTGACGTTCAACTCAAACTAGGACTATACAAGGAAGAATTGTCATCCGGCGACACAAAGTGACACCATTCGGATGAGAATCCCCCCCCCCCCCCCCACCCCTCAAGTCCCAGAAATCCCGTTCAATCGTTTAGGTTGTTTCAGAGCCCGCGACCACAGACAGGGTGGAGCGCTAAAACACCAACACAAACAAAATTTCGTCCCCCATCGGGGCTTATGTTTAAAGTAACTCCTATTTTATGGCTATTAACTTATTTTATACAGGACGAATCTTTGGACCCATCAAAGATGCAAATAGAGGGTGAGAAGCAACAATAGAATTCATATATGTTCGCATAACCATTGATCCCTGACATCAAGAGAGCAAATAGACTAAAATAACTGGGGGATATTGAGAGAATGTCAGATGGCAGAAATGTAAAAACTGTATACACAAGGGAGCTGAATGGGCCTAGACCACGATACAGATCAAGAAAGATGGCGAGATAATGTCCAGACAGACCTGCAAACACTTGGTGTCATCATCTGGAAAGAAAAGGCCTACCAGAGAGATAAATAGAGGCGGGCGATATCTGTAGCAGTGAACCTCAATGGATTGAAATGTTGACCAAGAAGAAGAAGAAGAAGAAGAAGAAGAAGAAGAAGAAGAAGAAGAAGAAGAAGAAGAAGAAGAAGAAGAAGAAGAAGAAAAAGAAGAAGAAGAAGAAGAAGAAGAAGAAGAAGAAGAAGAAGAAGAAGAAGAAGAAGAAGAAGAAGAAGAAGAAGAAGAAGAAGAAGAAGAAGAAGAAGAAGAAGAAGAAGAAGAAGAAGAAGAAGAAGAAGAAGAAGAAGAAGAAGAAGAAGAAGAAGAGGAGGAGGAGGAGGAGAACAATGTATAACGTTAAAATATTTATTTGCGGGTGGGAGCGGGGTGGGGGTGGTGGGGCGCTCTGGAGAACGCTGTCACACACATCGTTGTGGATTACTGCAGTTTAAGCTTCCGTAGCTTCTAAATTATCCATGTGACAGATTTATTGTCTTGCTGTCACTTCTCATGATTGCGTGAACGTGAGGTTAAAAAAAAGGCCGTGATCTCGCGAAAACCGACATATTAGATGTTATGTCAGTTGTTGGAAAATTTGTATACATTCTTAAATATAAATTGCTAAGTTAGTGTACTGTCACTCATCCAATGTCCGTGCTCGGTAAGACAGATAGAGGCAACTGTTCCACGTCGAGATTCTGACCACATTTCGACCATTCTTGGAGCTTCCGGAGTTGCATCGTTCAACACCAGAACGTTATAATTAGGGCACCAGTAACACGTACACCGAGTACCATCTTGGTGTACCCTGCACTCCTGTGAGGGGGGAGGGGTGAGGGCGCTTGGTCTAGGTATGTGACTCGATCGACATATCGATCAATTTTCCTCTCCGCGCTGCTAGCTGCTTGTTTACCACACCCTACTGAGATTGAAGATAAATAAAGTAGATCTCAGATACCCTGTTTAGCCTCCAAGAAATTTTTTTTTTTCTTGCCCCTGCTATGGATATCGCAACCCTTCGGCCTTGATTCCATGATAGATACCGTAAATCTGAGAGAAACATAGCTTTTTAGCCTACCCACAGGCGTGAACCCGGACCACAAGATTTCGTCACCTGGTCGCCGCGAAGTCAGGTTTAAAAAACTACGCTAGCGAGCCGGGCATCCAAGAAGTTATAATTAAGGCATCTGCAACGGTTACACCAGTCAGTTGTAACCTGCAGTCCTATGCTGGTAGTAGTAGACAACAATCAGTCCCTGGGTACTATGGAGTTTTACCGCTGGTTTTGGGAACAGCGTCTGCTATGACTGTAGAGTCCAACTCGGGAGTGGCAATCTCTCCCGCATGCCCCACATACAAACGCTAATACGATATCATTCTGAGACTGGAATTGTAGCTAAATCAATTCTATGTGGGATGCAAATTTTCGTTATCTGAAGCCAAGCCCTGGCTTTTGCCGGAGGCCCTGAATGTAGGCTGGCCATAAATATGGCCTAACGGCTGAAATGGGTTTATGGGCACTCTCCACGGTGGCACTTTGTGTCACTGGGTGTTTATCGCTTGTGTGATGTCATGGTGGGATACAACAAGCGAGAAAAAAAAAGAGAGAGAGAGGAGAGAGAGAGAGAGAGAGAGACAGAGAGAGAGAGAGAGAGAGAGAGAGATCGTTCTAAGGCTGGTTTTCTCTGAGACATCTCCTGTCCATAGCTTGCTAAAATTTGCCTTTTTTCAACTCCAGCAGTCCGTCTTTCGCTGGTAGGGCCTACTAACTACATTTATAGACCAGTTGGTGATTTGGTCGTTATCGTGCCCTCCGTTTTTACTTCACAATATTTACTGGTCCGCATTTGAGCCTGATACTTTCTTTAAGCTAAAGTCACATTTTCCTACCCTCAGCTAGGATTCGAATTCACGACTACATGCCGGCAACATTAACGTGCTAGCCACTATCTACCATTACCTTAGCGTTTCACTATGGCTGAGTTTAAGCGGTTTTTGGCGGTATGCAACGATACGCAGATCCGGCACTTTTCAAGCATCATTTTCCCCAAGAGCTTCTGTAATAGACACTTTGTGGTGAATACCGTCAACATTTTTCTCTAATGAATAAAAGGCCTAGGGAATTACAGATAAAGAAGATTACTACTATTTTTTTTTTTATAAATCCCACATATGCTACCATTTAAAAACAAATCAATACCATATAAAAACTACATTTGAAATGCGCCGTCTCCGCAAGATTACTAACAACACAAGAAAAGATAGGATTACAAATACCAGCATTAAAGAGAAAGTTGGAATAAGATCATGTCTGGATTATATTGACAGACAAAAAATGAAAAAAATCTAGCCATCCAGCGAGAAGGCAGCCAGACCGAACTACATATGAGACACTTTTTTACAGCAGAATATCTGGGAGGAAGACAAGAAAAAGACCAAGAAAGAGATGGATAAATGGTGAGGCTGAAACCTGCGAAAAATAAACAAATTCATCAACCAAGCCACCAGAGAATCGCAAGAAAAATGCAGAACATGACACTGGGCCACAACCTGATAGCAGTGAGGCGACAAAAGCAGAATCGCACACCACAGTTGAGGCTGGCTCTAATTGATCTCAATCACTGCTTGTCTCTTGTCCTTAAACACTTACTTCTGTTGTTGGCTCATCTACTGATGTTATTCTTCTACGTGTATCGTTGTCTAATATTTCTCTAGATTGCTTGTCTTAAACATGCTTGAATGTTCGGATTACTGTGTGCGTATTGTTGATATTTCCGTTTTCAGCTGTTTTCTTGTTTAGCCATCTTTCTTTCGTTAAAAGAGACCTGTTAAAATGTTCATAGTTATCTTGTGTTCGGCTGTCGTCTTCCAGACCATACTTTGCCTGTATTTTAGGTTATAATACATGCTTATCTTCTTCAGCAGTGTTCATCCGAAGATGTAATTGCGTTTTTTTCTTCTGTTTACAGCATGGCTGCGATACTTTCGCCTCTCGGCAGACACATCTGACTTCTGGAAGCATTTGTTGACCGGGTTAGCTTTCCAGAATATTTGCTTATGAGATCTGTTCTTCATCTTATAGTCTATCTACACCATGTGGGCTTTGGTAATCACGTCTGCCCACAGCCTGCTTTCTTATGTACTGTTAAACATTTGTGATATTTTTGATGATGTCTGTCTGTAAAATCATCGTCTCTCTTGGTCCCTCTCTGACTCTGTTATTATCAACCTGTCCATTGTCAAGACTTATTCTAGTTTCCGCTTTATCCCGACACTATTAAAGAATGCAGTTTGTCATTTTTTAATGCAGTTATTTTTATGAGTTTATATCTTTTAAAACATTTTCATGACTTTATTTAACATTATATTCTCATCATCCTTCTCTAAAACCACATGTCTGTATTTTCGGATAATTTTTCAAACTAGAGCAATACAGCAATTCGAACTGAAAGAACTGTTACCGCTCATTACCAAGTACAAGCCACACACATAAAGTGACAGCCAGACCGACCGACCAACAGACAGACAGACGCAGAGTGTGACGAGCTGGTCTGGACAGCTGTTTCTGTCCTTTTAAAAAGTGCTTTGTTTAGATAATATTATTACCAAAGTTAAAAGGGCGAATGAGATGATGAGTAGTCAAGGGGTACTGAAGAGTTACTTCCTCCCTTTTTAAGGACTTACTGTTCCCTTTTCAATTCAGAAATTGACCGGTTCAGACCTAAAGTTGTTAGTCCGCCTGTGGTCCAATTTTCTGTTTGAATTCCCTGCCAGGGGTGAGTTAATAAAATTAAGTTTAATTTGATGTATTGCTGCTTATTCCTCTGAATTAATTTTATCTGCTGAATTCTGAAATTTGATGCCCCACATGGCTTAAAAACTATGATAAATTTCTTTATCCTTACTAACCACGTTTATGATCTAGTATGTACATGTATGCAAACATATGATCTATTTGATGATTTAATTAATGTTTATTTGCTACTAGAAACGTGCAATGGTATTTTCAATTATTATACTTATATTAATTAAGTGATAATTATGTCCTCATGTGAAATCTCGGCCAGTTCCGGTTTCCAGCATGGTGGGACAATTAAAAAGGAATGAAGTGTATATTCATTATACCTAATCCCTTCTAAGTTAAATTTTTACCTCATGGTGATATTAGCTTAATAAATCACTGTCTTGCTTTAATTTAGATTTAGTCCAGATAATTCTGAGACTAGTTTAAGAGCTTGGAAAGTGAATAACACAGTGAGGCTGAATTTAATATTCACACTGTCAGAAAAGAAGAAGAAAGATGTATGGCCCATGCTTGTAATTATTGTTGTAGATATATTTCCCTATTACTAGGAATACATTTCAGTTCTACAGCAGGTGGCCTTACAATTGTAATAATTATATTTCAACCTTTACAACTTCTAAACTCTACTGACTAAGATGTTATCACACAGGTGGATTTAGATTTAAACTGGAGTGAGTGTTGTATATTTTATGTTAATACTGTGACACATGGAAAGCCCATTGTCATCTATGATTGTATTTTGACATTTATCCCAGCACCCAGTATATTGATGGAGATATGTCAATCCCATTTATTTTCAAACAGTGCAAAGCACCTGTTATGAGTTCCTGGTCTTGGTAAACTCACTCCCTGCTTCTCATCCATTGTGATGTGAACCCATGTGGTTAAAATGAGAATATTGTGAAATATGACTGTGTATGTCTGTGTGTGTAAGCATGTTAACCCTTCAAAGGAGTACTAGTGTGCAGACATCAGAACAATTTACACTGAGGAAGGTCCTTTCTTTTTGTGTGATGTAAACTCTTGTTCTTGAGAGTATTCATGAAACTGATGTTTCCTAAATATTTCCCCATCAGGATTATGGACCATGTTCTGTATACATTCCCATTCTATACCAGTAGAATGTGAACACCTGTTACTATCCTACTCCATATATATGTGTGTAGTGTAACAGTTTAAAGACTGGAGGTATTGTTGTCTCCAGTTAGAACCTTCCTGACTGTTTGTATAAGGACTGTTCTATTGTTCTAGTTCCAGATTGTACTTACAGGTGGGAGCTACAAAAGTAAATCCTAAGCTTAGCTGCAGATGCCGATTGTCTGGACTGGACCGGAAGATTCGGCCTGCTTGATGTGTCACCAACGCTTAGCCAGAAGCTGACATAAGCTACAGCTAAGTGGGAACATCTGTTGCTTTCCCAATCCATAATTTTATCCACAGCCTTTTATTCAGTTATCATTTGAATTTTCAAAATAAATGTAGTTAATGTTCTTACAGTTTTCTGAAGTTTCATTTTAACTGTAATTGTGTCAGTGAACAAAAGCTAGTGTAATTTAATACATTTAAATACACAAATTTAAGAACAGTAGCGAATAAGATGTGGGCAAACCCCAAATCCTCTGATTTAACCAGCAAGGCTGGGGGCAATATAAACCTTTATTAAGATTTAATGTTTGTAGTTCCCTCTGGACATTGCACATAGTGCATTCGCTAGTTAAAGCGAATTTACCCGCCACACAGAGTATACGCATCTCCTGCAGCTCATAACTTGGCAGGATTCAACATCTCTTTGTGTAACTGACATTTACTGGTGTGCATTAAAGCTACAGATTATCCTGTTCTTGCTTTGTGCGACACTCATGATCTTACTTGGAACGACGACAGCCGAGCAATGGAATACAACCTGTTAAAGTGAAATCGTCACTCCCCCCGTTTAAATCGTAAGAAAACGGACATAATAAGAAGCAGACAGTTAAAAAAAAATAGAAGAAAAAAAAAATAAACGTCACCCTTAAAACGAACAATAAATTCGGGTGCACCTGTAAATCTACAAGCAAGTAAACTGTTATGGACAATGGAAGTTCAACTGTCAAAGAAGTACTGAAAAACAAATGAATAAAAAATTATTACGATACCACAACAAAGAAGAAAACACAACCAGTGCTCTAACACCGTGTTTTATCAATGGGCAATAAAGGAGAAGGAGAAGAAGAAGAAGAAGAAGAAGAAGAAGAAGAAGAAGAAGAAGAAGAAGAAGAAGAAGAAGAAGAAGAAGAAGAAGAAGAAGAAGAAGAAGAAGAAGAAGAAGAAGAAGGAGAAGAAGAAGGAGAAGAAGAGAGCCAAAAGAAGAAAAAGAAGAAGACAGAGAAGGTAAAGGAGTAGAGTAAGAAGAACTGGAAGTAGAAAAGAAAGACAAAGAAAGAAGAGAAAATTGTGAGGAAGAAGAATAGAGAAATAATCACAAACAGGTAATTCGAATGAATCAACGAATAAATTAAAACGCAATTGCAAATTTTAGATTACCTCGACTGCGCGGCTAGGCGAGTATGCATTAAAGGGTGGCACCACATCCCGATAGCTGGAAAAGTTACTTTCGTCATCTTTGGCATCGTAGACAACGGTGTTGTTGCCATCCAGTAGACGAACTGTATTGGGAGATCCTTCGCTGGGATACGACAGTAGTACATCGTAGGGTGTTATTTGTACCTGCAGTCCACTTTCTTCAAAATTGTCCTTTAAAAGTTTGACGAGATCAAAGTCTCTCTGGCTCCCAGCTATGTGTGGAAACTCCGACAGAATTCTAGAAATAAAAAGTGTCAAAGAGGGTATTCCTGTGAGGCCGTAGAAATTTATTTTAATTACAGTTTTAAACATAATCTACTTCCTTCTCAATTCACTTTGCCTACATGTAAAAAAAAAAAAAAAAAAAACTTTGCAATTCGCTTAGCGTTTTAATTTACAAAATGATTTTAGGCAGAGCTGTGAGCCTAAACAAAGACGTTAAAACTACACATCGCAAGGTATGTCTTGTACCATAAGTTATTGTTTTTTTTTTTAAATATTTATCTTACTCAGTAAACTGAAGAAATCAGCATGTGAAAAGAGTAAGAAAATTACCGCCTCCTAGGATAAATGTTGAAAGTTAGAAAAGCCCTATTCACATCAAAATACTAATAACATGTAAGATTGGGATACAGACAAATATGGATACTATTTTGTGTTTAGCAAAAAAGGTTTGGGACAACACATTTTTTTTTCTATATGAGTCACCACTAGCGATTCCCAACTTCACAGGAAACGAATCACACCACATTTGTTTCGTTCCAAGTCTAGGGAAAAACAATATAAAATGTCTATCCCCGACCCATGCGGCAAGACGAATTAACAGACTGCTATCCTGGCACAGCAAACAGCATACGCATGCATTAAAGCAGCTCCTATAGCTTCCAACACATTTCATGCAAATAAATACATGTCATTGGAGGTTTAAAAAAAAAGTGTTCTTGCATGCTTCACAGAACCAGTTTTAACATTTGGCTATGAATCCTGGACTATTTTAAACAAGCCAAACAATTTCTTGAGGCCTCTGAGGTATAGATTTACAGAGGAATCCGTATAATTCCTTACACAGAAAAAAAAAACGAACCAGATGTTTTGATAGAGGCGAGAGTTCGAACACAAATTATTACAAACACCAGAAAGAGACATTGGTCCTTTTTCATCCCGCTAACAAAAAGAAAAAAATTGATTGTGACCATGGGAATGTTCTGTAGGGAGCGGCGGGGAAAGGGATGGAAGGAAGGCAATTTGCTGACGATGACGATGATGATGAGAGGTTTCAACACCAGCTATCCTCCAATTAGAACTGTAATTCATCGATGCTGGAAGCAGCACTAGTAATAAATCAGCAGTTGCACTTGTATTACTGCATACGGCACTACCGTTTTTGTCTCAACATGACACACGCCAATTTCGGAATGTGATTTTCACTACAAAAGTACCTAGGCTACGAAAGAAAAGCATTCTACGTGTAATCTATAATTTACAGGGTCGTGCCGTGCAATCAACACAGTAGCTGAGTGAGAAACCAGATTATTTCAGACAACACCTCGGCAGACAGGGACCTGAAGCAAATAAATCAAGAACCCCTGCCTCCCCCCTCCCCTCCCTCCTTTTAAAAACTACACTGGACATGTGTATGCATCTACGTTAAATAAAAGTGCATTTGAGCCATTAAACCTACCGCAAGTTAGCTTCGATTCTGGCAGGATCTATAGCATCCATAATCTTCTTAGAAATACTTGGGTCAGCCTCACTGACCAGATTATCAGGTGCGCCGGGCAGGTACAGTCCATCTCTGGTGACCTCATCACAGATTGCATATGTTCCTATGAGAATGCCAATCATAAATCCAATTCCAACAGCCAGCGCCAGGACAATTGCCAACCGTGTCTTGCTCATTCCTGATGCTAATGAAAAACTTTTATCATCGGGTTTACCGTCTAGATGCCAAGTTCTGTGTGAGTTCATCAATGTTTAGTCATGAATAAATCGTGTTTCTGTGTGTATTCCTTCTCTGTAAAAAAAAAATATGTAGATGAGAATACTTAGAAGAAAAAAAAAATCCGCAGACACAACAGATTTAAAGTTTAAACAACGGATTACCATCATGGCAAACGGGTAGTAACCCATCAGTGCTCCGTTCTTCTTCTAACTCAAGTATGAGTAAAAAAAATCTCAGCACAGTGCACAGACTCTGTAGCACTGGCCAGGAAACTGAAACACATTGGGTAGATTTGTAACTCCAAATTGTGCCCGGACTCTTTTCGATTTCCAACTGCCAAGTGATTTTTTTTTACACAAAAATGCATAAGGGCGTACTATCTCACTAACCAGAGTCCAGGGGGAATTACTAGAAGTCGAAGTCCACTTGAAAAAAATCCAGCTCTTACCAGGGATTGAATTTGGAACCTCTAGCACTCAGGCGTACACCATGCCTCGAGACCACACAGCCCCCTTACACCCAATGAATTTAGGAAGGAAGAGGAAACGGAAGACGCACAAATACGCATGCGCACACACTCAGACATTCAGGAACAACAGAGGTTTTTATCAGTGAACAAAAAACAAAAACAAAAAAACAAAATGCCAAGAGTTCTTGGCTAAAAACCCGACTGATTTAATTCTGAGAATGGTAGGAACAAAATGTGTAATTGGATTCAATCAAAAACAACGACTAAAATGGCTTGGCCACCTGGTCAGAATTCACCCAGCGTCAGAAGTTGTAAGAGCACACGACATGAGAATGAAAATATCTAGACGCAGCGGAAGGCCAAGAAGATTATAAAATATAAAGGTCCCTTTTCCGCGCATTTAGGCATATTTGGATTATAGGGTTAGACCTATATTTGTATAGGCCAATCGGCACTTGGTGTGTGATGCTGTCAGTTCCACGCCGACCGCCTTTACTTCCCAGGACAGCACCTGATACCCTCTCAAAACTGGGTCGATCTTGGAGTCAAGATCATTTTTGAAAAAAGTCCGGCTCTGTAATGTCGCGAACCCACGGCCTTCAGATCCGCAGGCGGGCGTCTAGCCACCAACGCCAGGGCGACTCCCCAAGAAGACTATACATATTACATATAACAAAAAAGGCATCCTGGTTCTTGAGGCGAGAATATGGAAAGCAGGAACGGTATTGGTTGTTGAGAAGCTAAACACGATAAAATGTTGGATCGCCATCGTCGTCATCATCATCTTTCGCTGTCGTCATCCTGTTACTGCGTCGTGTAGACCTCTCAGTTAATTTCCCTCATCTTTCCTATTTAATCGTTTCGATATTATGGATGGAATCCAGTCCAGCATCTTTGGCCTCTTTTAACACGTTCGTCTTTAGGTTTCTCTGGGATGTCTTCGTTTCCTCAATGCATTGATTTCCCATCTGATTGTCTGTATGGTGTCTGCCTGTCCGCTTCTTATCATAATGTACCAACTGTCGCCATATTCTGTTTCTGATAACCGTTGATACCAACGGTTGTCCAGACAAATATCTGTTTCTTTGGTTGTCTTGAATTCATACCATTTACCGTTTATCTGTTTCTTTGGTTGTCTTGAATTCATACCATTTACCGTTTATCTGTTTCTTTGGTTGTCTTGAATTCATACCATTTACCGTTTATTTGTTTCTTTGTTTGTCTTGAATTCATACCATTTACCGTTTATCTGTTTCTTTGCTTGTCTTGAATTCATACCATTTACCGTTTATCTGTTTCTTTGTTTGTCTTGAATTCACACCATTTACCGTTTATCTGTTTCTTTGCTTGTCTTGAATTCATACCATTTACCGTTTATCTGTTTCTTTGTTTGTCTTGAATTCATACCATTTACGTTTATCTGCTTCTTTGGTTGTCTTGAATTCATACCATTTACGTTATCTGCTTCTATGGTTGTCTTGAATTCATACCATTTACGTTTATCTGCTTCTTTGGTTGTCTTGAATTCATACCATTTACCGTTTATCTGTTTCTTTGGTTGTCTTGAATTCATACCATTTACAATTTATCTGTTTCTTTGGTTGTCTTGAATTCATACCATTTACGTTTATCTGTTTCTTTGGTTGTCTTGAATTCATACCATTTACCGTTTATCTGTTTCTTTGGTTGTCTTGAATTCATACCATTTACCGTTTGTCTGTTTCTTTGGGCAATATTTTTCGAATGTTTTCTCTTTTTGTTCCCGCCTTTAGTGGCTCTGAGAGTTACATTGTTCTATGTTAAAATTCAAATACCAGTACATTGAAAAAAAGGGTTTAAAGTGTATATAATTTCGAGCTATAGAGTTCCAGGTTATGTTCAGGCTTTCACAGGTTGTTGTTGCCTTCTCAATGCATATCATAAGTTATATTTTAAATGTTGTGTGAGTGAGTGTGTGTGTACGTGAGTGTAATGGAGAACTACTATGAAATTATCATACTAAAGATATCACTTTCATAGAATTTTTTCAGACTCAAACAGCAAAGTAGCGTCTGTATTCTTTAACAATGAAGCTCAGTCGACTTATATCTGTTTTCTTATTATGCTTTAGGTCCATGCCGTGTGGCGTTGGTTGTCATGTCTTTCCACAACCTTCTGTCTCTTTCACTTTCAGTCAACTCTGACACAGAAGATCCTCCATACCATGATGTCAAACTGTCCAGTATCTTTTATCTCGGTCTCCCCCGCTCCCCTCCCCTCAACTTTCCCACCGTCACTATGTACTCCAGTTTTCCCCTTCTCATCACATGACCAAAGAATGTTGATTGTCTCTTTCTGATGTGGACAATCAGTTCTCTTCGGGAATCAATTTCTTTCAAGACATCTTAGTTACTATTTTTATCTGTCAAAGATTTTCTCATTGTTTATTTATAAAACCCCATCTCCGTAGCTTCTAAATATGTTTTCACTAATTTAACAACTGTCCGTGATTCACTTCCGTTTACCAATATAGGATTTATATAGCTTTTACAAAATCTCTTTCTCGTCTCAATTGATAAAGAAAGACTGCATTTAACTATTCTTCGTTTTATAAAATTCATTGGGTATCTAAGTAGAACCAAAATGAGAATTAGAGAATGGCACACAAAAACTGGTTTACGGTTAAATATGTAAAAAAAAAAGTAAAGATCCCTTTACACGTCCTTAGGCGCATCGGGCATATGGGAAGAGCACCCATATTTTTACAGACCAATCTGCACTCGGTGGGTAATGTGGTCAGCATTACACCGGCCGTCTTTACTTCCCAGGACAGCCCATCCTTGTACCCATTTGAGGCTGGGTCGACCTGCGACGTCCCATACCACGATAAAAAGGTTAAACATGACAAACATAAAATTTACCACAGGTAGTACATAAGCATCTGTAGCTTAGAGAATGTAAACGGAGTTTCATAACCCTAACAAAGAGGAGTTCGAAATGAACTGTAGGAGATTTGGTAGCATTATGAATATTGCCGTGTAGAAATCAATGTCAAATGTCAAAATATTGTACGGAAACTTGACTAGAAAAACTACACGATAGGCAATTAACACTTAGGTTGGTTGCAAAAGTCATATATTTTCACTAGCTCTGAAAACATCTCAAGCTTTGTAAATAGGGAGATAATAATTATTAGAATATAATTCATTACAACCTTAAGGTAGGTAGGTAGTTGTACCCCACCAGGACATCACATTAGCCATAAACACCCGGTGACACGAAGTGCCACCATGTGGATGAGGATCACCCGTGGAGAGGTTTTGGAAACCCCGTTCAGCCGTTAGGCCATATTTAAGGCCCGGCCATGTTTAGGGCCCCGGCAAAAGCCAGGGTGGGGGCTTCAAAAAAAAAACTAAAAATTGCATCCCATAAGGGGAACGAGGCTTATATTACAACCTTCACATGTTTACAAACTGACATTGGATATCGCAGCGGGCCAGCAATAGAGGATGTCAGTTCTGAATGCCATTTTTGGCAACAACGATATGAAGAGAATATTGACAGTTTCTAATTTGTCAGACATTAATTAGACGACACGGCATCACGAAACCTCTCAAATAACTTACTTGTCGATCAGGGCATTGTTCATAACTGCCCTAAATCAGTACTGTTGTATAGAGCGGATACACTGGAAAAAAAAACTGAAACAATTAATAATAAACAACAAACATTCATTAACTTGTGTCGGTGCAGAATACAGGGAATCCAATGATTTATTCACTAATTTTGAGCTTTGTGGGAGACCTAAACAAGCTCCACTGGACCAAGAGGTGAGAAAAAGGCGCTGGCGTTTGATAGAACAGACGTTGAGAAAACATAAGAACGATGTATCTATAATATATTTGCATTGGAACCCACATCTAAGCAGACTACACACACACACACACACACAGCCACAGCCACACCCACCCCCCCCCCCCACCCACACACACAACATGGAGAAGAGAGCTAGAGAGTGAAGTTAGAATGATGGAAATGATATTATGTGAGCTGTATGCAATAGCTAAGGATAGAACGAGTTGGTTCGGGGCCTATGCTCCTTCGAGGGGTAGAAAGCAGATGAATAAGTATATATATATATATATATATATATATATATATATATATATATAGGTATATATATATATTTCTGAATATATATACGTATATATATATATATATATATATATATATATATATATATATATATATATATATATATTCATCAGTGCGATGGCTTAAACAAAAAACATGCGACTTTGATGTCCTTTGTAGTTTATAACTCTTTTGTGCATAAAATTTGTTACAAAACGTAGAAACATATTTCTTTACAGCCATCATTATCTTGTTGTAATTTGTTTGCAGAATATCTGTCTCTTTCTCCCCCCGCCCCTCCCTCTCTCTCTCTCTCTCTCTCTCTCTCTCTCTTTCTCTCTCTCTCTCTCTCTCTCTCTCTCTCTCTCTCTCTCTCCATCCCCTCTCTCTCCTTTCTGCCCATTTTCCCTTTTCCTAAATATCCCAGCCTGAGAATGAGAGGCG